GGCCTAGGAGGGGGAGAACTAGCTCTTGTACCCTTGGAGACTACACCCAGTGGCCCTATCCTTCAGGAGAGCCCCAAGTGTATCAGGGCACTATGCCCAGGTACCCTGTGCCTGGCCAAGTCTGTCCAAGGTCAGAAGAAACCACAGTGGCTGGCAGGTTCCAGCAGAAGCAGATGCCCTTGGGAGGTGGCCTTGAGGCTGAGCCTAAGGGAAGGAGAGGAAAGGGCTGGGACAGGAACAACCTCAGATTGAGGGTAAGGCCAACTCAGTGGACTGCCCAGAAGTGGATGCAGTCTTGGGTGGGGGTGGGGTGAAGTTGATGGAGCAGCCCTTGAGAATACCTTCCTGTGAGGTGCTAGGGGCCGGCCAGAGAGCTCAGACCCTGCCCTGACCCGCCCTGGCCGGTGGCCAAAAATCTCTGGGTGGAGTCTGCCCCATTCAGGCTCAGCTATTTCAGACCTCCTCGAAGGCCCAGCTCCCTCCTCCTGGACAATAGCCTGGATTCCAAGGGGATTAGAATCCTTGATGGGCATCCCCTTTTCTTGGGATGCCCAGTCCAAGCTAGACCCCCAGAGGGCAGCCAAAGAAGAATCTGAGAAGCCTCTATTAGAGTGTGGCCTGTCTAACCCAGCTCCAGGTCCCAGGGCCTCTGGCCACCCAGGGATCTGCTCTCCACAAGGCCTGCTGGTCAAGGAGAGGAACCTGAGAGTCTGTGGAATGGAGAGAACAGCAATCAGGAGCAGGGCTGGATGAGGTGGGGGCATGNCCCAGAGGGCAGCCAAAGAAGAATCTGAGAAGCCCCTATTAGAGTGTGGCCTGTCTAACCCAGCTCCAGGTCCCAGGGCCTCTGGCCACCCAGGGATCTGCTCTCCACAAGGCCTGCTGGTCAAGGAGAGGAACCTGAGAGTCTGTGGGATGGAGAGAACAGCAATCAGGAGCAGGGCTGGATGAGCTGGGGGCATGCAGGCCTTCTCCAGGGCTGGCCCTACATTGACAGGGAGCCAAGGCATTGATTGTCCTAGGCAGGGTTTGAAGGGCTCTGAAAGGGGTGGAGGCAACCAGGGGTGTGGACACCAGGCCACATCCAAAAGGAAGGTCTGGGGTGGTGTAGCCAATGAGGTAGGTTGAGGGCTGATGCCTCACATATCCTGGGATGACAGTCAGTCAAGGAGGCAACAAAGCTGGCCTTTGAGCTGTGTTGGGTACAACAGAGTACACAAGGGAGGGCGTGCCTGTAACAAAGGGAGTTTCCTAGCTCTAGTTTTGTGCCATTTGATCCCTCAACAAACATTTGAGTGCCTGCTGTATGTCCAGCCTAGACCTGATTAACTAGCCTCAGAATTGTGGTAGGGACTCCCCACACCGCTGTTGCCGTGCCTCCTCTGGGGACCTTGCACCAGAGACTAGTTGTGTGTCAGTCATACCTGCGGTCCCCTACAGCACCCGTCAGACCTGCTTTGTCTCTGTGCTCGCACAGAAAACCTGTCTGCTCTGGGACCCAACAAAGGGGTTGCCAGGCAGCAGGGTGGAGGCTGGTTTACGCAGCTGGGCGCAGGGAGGCCCTGGCCCTGAGGCCTAAGAGTGGAGGGTGTTGGGAGCAGTGGCATCTCACCCAAGGGGGGAGGCAGCAGACAGGTGAGAGACAGAAGCGGCTCACCCCAGTCTAGGCAGGGAAGAGAAAGAACAGACACTGACGATGAGCCCCATGTGATTGAGTGCT